GCAGACTTCTCATAAGACATGATATAAGCCAGAAGACAGTCGTAAGACATCATTAGAGTACTTGAAGGCAAAAACTGTCAACAGGGGATACACATCCTTTGAAAATATTAATCAAAACTTAAGGTAAAATAACGATGTATTCAGACAACAGACAAAAAGATCTGAGAAAATTTAGTACCAGAAAAATTCAACACAATGAATGTCAAAGGAAGTTCTTCAGGTTAACAGAAAATGAAAAAAAAAACCTTGCTGAGACATATTAATGAAGGCCTAAATAAATGAAAAGGTATGTTCTGTTAATGGATTAGAATACTCAATACTGTTAAGCTGGCAATTCTTCCCTTATAGACCTATAAATTCAATACCCTTCTAATCAAAATTCAAGAAAGTCTTTTAGGACTGAATATGTTGACATACTAATTCTAACATTTACATGAAATAAAGACTTAGAATGGCCAAATCAATTTTGGTGATGAAGAAAAATAATATAGATATTTACTACTATAAAGCTATTACACATTTTAATGATGAAAATTAATAACAAGATACAAACTAAAGAAACAGGAAATTTCCGATCAAGTATTAAGATAAAATGCATCAGGTATTTCAGTAGCCACGGCAGTGGCCTTCATCTCCTTATTTCCTTTCTCCTGGTTTAATTCATGTTCTTATTAAAGATAAAAGTATATCTCTTTTGAAATCCTTTCCATAGAGTATTACAAGCTTATAGGATCAGGACTCAGAATCAGGAAAAATAAGAGTTGTGGCAAATGGCAAATTTTAAAAACAGTTAATTTAAGCTAAGTTAAACTACAGATTTTTAATGGTCACTGTGAACACTGTGAACACCTGTTTCATGCTCTATGATCCAATTTACTGTGTAATGTAAGAATGACACATCACTGTTAGACTGTTAGAACTGTTGATTTGCTCCTGATTTTGCATATAGTATTCAGTATTTTTATGTTACAACTTCAAATATAGAAATACCTATTATAACTGTTATAACAGTGATTGTAGCCCTTTGAGGCTTCTCTTATATTTACAAGTGGGTTTAATTTGATTTTATAAATATAAATTACCTTTAATAGTTGGATGCATGTTTTCTCAATAGATAGCAGTTTTTGCAGCAATGCTAATTATAGTACACTTCCAAATTGCTCATTATTGATTACCCATTTCCTTATCATTGACTGAAAAAAATCACATCTGAATATTCTTTAATTATCATTACTTTTCTTCTAATATTTGATATATAGGATGAGTGAAGAGAAATTAGATTTTAGAGGAGAAAGGGGACAGAAATATGTGATACACAAATTTAACTTAGTGTGAATTCTTCATTTTTCTTCAGTAAGTCTAAGAAAAAAAATACTGGATCAATACTTGTTAAAAAAATAAATCATTTTTAGTCCCAAGTATATTAACTCTACCTGAATATCTTGGACTACTTATAGTTAGAAGTTATCAATAATGTCACCTTATATACTTGAGACCTTATAACTTGTTTTTATTCTTATTATTTACAGGGAAAATCGATGATTAACTGCATCACTAATTGCCAGAGCCCTTGCACCCAGACATGCACATACCAGTCAATACAAAAGCAATTTTTGGCCTAACTTCAACTCTGCAGAGCAGCCACTTGCAATCATTAAGCAGACAAAGAATCAAATTGCCTCTATGTCTTATTAATACATGTTGAGATGATCTAAAGGAAAGGAATTGGTGTAGGTGAGGACCTATCTCTTGAAGATTTGAAGGAGATTTATGGTGTGTGCTGTTGGCAAATTGTTGCTTTATTTTCAAAACAAACCTATCCTTTGGTGCTATGAATGTATTTACAATGAAGATTAATGACAGAGTACACATTTGTAAATAACTTTTTGATGTTTTTGTATATAGAATGTATGGGAGCTTGCCATTCAATCTGGGCAGTAGCTTTCTGAAATTATCTGATTGCATGCACCTGTGTTACACTGCATTGGCTTATAGTCTTTTTTTTGTTCCCCACTATGTTTCCTCTGTGCCAAAAATCCTCTCAGACAGTCAACTGAGAGCTATTACCAAAACCGAAAACAGTCCTAGGTTCCAAATGTACATCAGAGCCACTAAGTGACCCATATTGAGTTTTTCCTAAATATAAAATTGATTTATATCATAAGGGTGCACAGCTGATTACTTGCAGGAGGACTGTCCTTCCCACCTGACTGCAGGTGCCTGTTCTGCCATGTCATTCTCAATATGACACCTGTAGAAGCTAAATACTCCTCTCTTAGAGAAAAAGATCCATTACTTCATCCCGGTTGCATATTACTATTGACAGTGGAAAACTGTGTCTTACGGTTGGAATCTATTTTACCTAACTCACAATGACAGGAAAACAGGTTTGAGGGAAGATGACTCCATTTTTAGAGAATCTTAGATTGTTCTGATATTAGATTTGAAACAGTAGTATTATCAATTCCCACTTCTAAAACTTCACTAAAGTTAATGAAAATTATCAATTTTCAGGGTAGTGCAGCTTCTTTGTGTCCCATGTGGACATTACTCTTATACTTAGTACAGCTATGTAAAAATCAGAATTCTGTGGACACGCTTATCTTTTACTTCTCCTGCACATTTAAAAGTATAATAACTGCTTATGTGTTCAAATGAAAACTTGTCTTAATCTTTAGCTTCTTTCATTATTTTATTTTTGCTTTGTTATTTGCTTGTATATTGGTTAATAATTCTTTATATATCACCTATCAGTATCACTCAGCACTCTTTTTATATCGCCTACCAGTGTCAATCTTCATTCTGTGATTACAAGTATTAATAATACCTGTAGTCTTTGTAAGAGCCTATAAGGTAGGTACTATTGTAATTTTTATAGATGAAGAAACTGAGGCAACACAATAATAAGCTACCCACAGCTAGTAAGTTGTGGGGAATTTAATCATGTATATAAAGAATAATTATTTTGGCCAGGTGCCGTGGCTCAAACCTGTACTCCCAGCACTTGGGAGGCCAAAGTGGGTGGATTACCTGAGCTCAGGAGTTCGAGACCATCCTAAGCAACATGGCGAAACCTTGTCTCTACAAACAATATGAAAATAAGCCAGGTATGATGGTGTATGCCTGTAGGCATGGCTACTTAGGAGGCTGAGGTGGGAAGATGGCTTAAGCCAAGGAAGTGGAGGTTGCATTGAGCCAAGATCATACCCCTACTTTCCAGCCTGGGTGACAGAGCCAGACCCTGTCTCAAGAATTAAATAAATAAATAAAAAGAATAACTGTTTTTATTGTAAATGTAGCAAAAGAAGGCAACGTGTTCACGGACATTTTCCTACTGCTTTACATCCTAATCACTTATAGATAGAACCTAGAATAACCAAATAAAGAAGAAATTTAAAATTGCATGGTATGAAATACATGAGGCAGCCTTCTCTACAAGCTGAAATCATAATATCTTGCATGAATTGCTTAAAATATTTGCATTAGCTTTTTACAACTAAAAATGCATTAATCTTAGATTGCTGATATAAGTGTTAACCTTAAAAAGTTTATGTATGCACTATTTGAAACCAAGAGAAGACATTCTCAGGCCACTTAAAATAATCTCAAAGCAATATATCAGGATAATAGTTAGGATAGTTTACAAAATCCAAGAGAGAACAAAGAATCAGGTGATGTAAGGACTTCTAGGATTTAGTATGAGTTCTGGCTTTTATTATGAATTAGAGAGGAAGCTATTGAAGGGTTTTGCCCAGTTACAGCAGTTCATTCTCTTCCCTTGCCTTTATATATTTAAAACACCAGGGATTGACCCAGCTTGAGGTAAACTTTGACTTGGCAATGCAAAGGATTTTGTTAGGGTCTGATCGTTCACTTGGCGCTTCTCAGTTCTGCTCTCGTCTGCGAGCAAATTACATCAACTCAGCTAAAGTGAAGTTCTGTGGTAGCCTTGTGACCTAGGAAAAACCAATTGTGTGAATGACTGACACATTTCCAGTCAAAATTAGTCTCATCATTTTCACTTCACTGTCAAAGAAATGATCTCCCTCTCTTTCCTCTTTCCTGTTGGGCTTTAAGCTGTGAAGGGGTAAGTTTGCTGCAGTCAGCAGCCATCATGCTACTATATGAACCCTGTGACAGATGCTCAACCATGAAATCAAACATTAATTTCATTTCCATTTATTGCTATTTCTGCTTATTTGACTTTCTTTTAAAGCTTCTTCCTTTATAGACACACACATATGCCAGTAATAAAGCAGGCTACATGTATTCTCACTGATGTCCCATAAGAGACATAGAACATCTGTATTGACATAGGACCATAGTATTAAGGTTCTAGTTGGTGGCTCTTGCTAGTTTACCTTTCAATCCTCAACCAAGAAGATAGAATGTCATAATTGACTTTTTCCAGATATTGTCCATCTCTGGAGCTGGAGAAAGTAGACAGGTTAGCATTGATAGAAGGAGGGCCTCACATTCACTGTTTTATGTTAATCTGCGTCCCGTCCCATAAAAGTTCAACCTACAAGAGGAAGGATATTATCTCTCTTATTCACCACTATTTTCTTATATGCTTAAAACAATGTCTGCCTCATTATAGATACTTGCAAATATACGCTGAATAAAATGATGAAATGACAAATATAAATAATATGTATCTATGTACATATATAGGTATATGTATAAATTAAAGCTTTTGAGGTTCCATACGTACCAGAGCACTAATTGCTCTATCTTTATCATACCAAGAAATTATCCTAGGTCTATGGGCCAGACAATATTATTACTATTTTGCTGAAGAGAAACGTGAAGCACAGAGACATTTTGTGGCATGTTCATAGCTACCTAGGTAGTAAACAACAAAGATGGGACAGCAAGACGAAAACCCAGGGTTGCTGATTAGAAAGCCCACATTATTTACCACCATACAGTATTGCCGACATCAACATTTAGTGTCTTTCCACCATACTGCATCTGAATAGAAAGGAGGTAGCACATGAAAGTATTGCTTCTAATTTTATTTTTGCTCTGAAATAAAAAAGCAAATGTAATTAATGAACATTTAACAAATACCATATGGTGCACGTTTCCATATATGGCACAGGATACACATTTGATCAAGATATAATTCTGCCCAGCAGAAGGTTGGGGAAAGGAGAGGAAGAAGAAGAAATAGAAAATATAAGTTGAATCTGATCCTTAATGTGATTTTTACTCCATGTATACTTTTACTCAAATGATAGCTTGTGCACGTGCAAGGGCTGACTATGCTATTCCAAAGTACTTTCTATGGGTGAAGGAAAGCAGAAGGAAAAGGGGAAGGGGAGAAGATTAAGAATCTCCACTTCATGAAGGAAAAAGCACTTTGGTCCCCAAATATGGCAGAAAACAAGTCAAGTAAGTGGGAGGAATGTTATACAGGGGAGCTTGTGTGTTTTGCATGGAGGCCTCATTTTAGCAATACCTTTTTGCCTTTCTACTTCCAAATCTTATTTGCTAGTTCAATGCCTTTATATAAAGTCCTGATGATGAATGAAAAGTGCTTCAAGTACTGTTGCCTCATTAAAAGCATTATTTATTAATTTAACTTCTAGTACTCTCGATAAAAAGCCAGTTAAATGAGTTGTTGAATACCAGGGGAAAATGAGAACATAATTTTGAATATATATATATATATACACACACACACACATACACACACACACACAGTTCGTAACTGGATTACATATAATAATGATATGAATATGTCTATCAGTATTGGAGTTGGATTCTGGTACTTTCTCTTGTGGGGGTCTTGTGTTACAGTCAGCATAGATTTCTGGAGCATTCTTCTATTGATCTTTTGGTGACATCAAACTGTCTTAAGTGGTGTGGGAGATGCTGCTTCTGCCATGTGAGAATTTGGTGGTATAATTAGCACAACCTGTGAAACAATCAGAATGCCATAGGCGAGTCACCCAAATAACCTCAGAGTGCCCCTTTCCTGCCCACATAAAGTCATCATCATCAGAGTTTACTCTTTTCTTCTCTGATTCATTCTCAAGATCATGTGGGGCTTCTCAGTCATTCTTTAGATCAGGCCTGATTTAGGAGACAACATTCAGTGGTAGCTCTTGACCTGAGCTGCTGATGACCACTGCCCTGGTCTTGCAAGTAAATAAGTCTTATATGTGGATGACAGTGCACAATACGATGGGTAAACCAAGGTGTCATGAAAAACATGGGGCTCTTCTTCCAAACCAGGTTGTTCATGCTGACAACATCAACATACCCAAATCATGATTTGCTGGTTATGAATAAAGCATTGCAAAAACCACACTGGCCCAGAATAGCAGGAATCATCATGAAACTAAGAAAAGTTCTGGTTACTCTTCCACAAACTCAGTGCAACATTGGGTTGGTAGGGCATGGTGGAGGACCAGGAAGAGACAGAGATTTAGCCAAGATATGCCCCAAAGCCGCTGCTTTTCTGGACTCACCCCAGGAGATTAGAGAAACAACATTCCCCAGCTTCTATGCTAAGAGCCAAAGGGAACACAGACTTAAATATTATGACATGAAAGTTACTTCACTTGATGAAATTACAAAATCATTGGTAATTGCTGAGAATCTCTGACTTCTAGGGTTTTATGATGCAAAGCCCCACTACTAGAGTCAATGCGCTATAGTCCATCTCTCTTCTATGAGGGAGGGCTGTCGGGGAGTGGGATGTGGTGTGGCCTGGAAATCCCTAAAGAAGACAGAGAGGCACAAAATGATGGAGAAGGGCACCAGAGAGACAATCTCATCCAACTACAGTTTATTCTTTGACTGACAGTTTTGTTTGTCTTTCAGACTTTGGGTAATGAAGTTAATGAGTGGCTGTTGGGGTTTTACTATCCATTTCCTCATTCTGGAACTCTCAATTCTTGGAGGGTATCCCACCCCGTTATTCCCAGAGCCTCTTTCTTAATTTCTTCTCTCCTTCCATTCCTCACTTTCCTCTCTCTATGTGACGTTCTTTTGGCTTAACTGCCAGGAGCATCTGTTGCAGGTCTCAGGGTAAGAGAGTGGGCAGGTGTGCACAGACTGAAAGAGAAGTCTGAGATCATGACATTCCTTCAGTATCCCAAGAAAAGTTGTTGTAATAGGATAATAGAATAAAACCAAGTACTTTGGGGTACGTCTTCATTGTGAAATATTTTCTTATCTGGATTCAAAGGTTATGCCCTTTGAGTGAGAAAGGAAGGGGAAAAAGATCTTTTATTTGGCTATTGTGCTAGGCAGAGTTCTAAGGTGATACTCACTGACCCCTTGTGATTCCCTCCCCTCAAGTGTGGATGAAACCTGTGTATAAGATGGGATACAAGTCCCGTGTGTAGGTACTGATTAGTTGACTTCAGTTTATAAAAAACTCATTATTCTGGATGGACCGCACCTCTTCATGTGAATGCTTTATGAGAGGATTAAAACTTCTATGGCTCTTAGCATAGAAGCTGGGGAATGTTGTTTCTCTAATCTCCTGGTGTGAGTCCAGAAAAGCAGCGGCTTTGGGGCATATCTTGGCTAAATCTCTGTCTCTTCCTGGTCCTCCACCATGCCCTACCAACCCAATGTTGCACTGAGTTTGTGGAAGAGTAACCAGAACTTTTCTTAGTTTCATGATGATTCCTGCTATTCTGGGCCAGTGTGGTTTTTGCAATGCTTTATTCATAACCAGAGACTCTGACTCTCCTGCTGGTCTCAAAGAAAAAGTACATTGTCATGAGTTCTCAATTTAAAGGAGGTTAATTCCACCACATTCACATAGAAGAGAATCAGAAGCTTTAGACAAGGCCACAGCCCCAGCCAACTCTCTGATGACAGACTCATCAGATTCTGAACCAAGGATCCACATCAGCTGGGCCCAGACTCTTGACCCATGGAAACTGAAATATAATGAATGTGCACTGTGTTAAGACTGTAAGTTTGTTTAACTGGTTATACAACAATATGAAAGTAATACAGATACCTTCAAATGAAGGCCAATACTCACCTCACCGGGGCTACAACAAAGCACTTTACATCCAAAGGCAGAGAGGGACACAGCAATGCAGAATTCCAGCACACTTAAGAGGAGCACCATGCCATCCATACCCTAGGAGAAAACTCATAACAAAAGAATGTGAGAAATGGAGTTGACAAGAGGAAACATTTACCAGGGACCACAATGTCATCAGAGAAAAAGCACTGGTTGGGAGTCAGGAGACCTGCCTCCCAGTGGCAGCCATTCCCTTGACCAATTCTTGATCTGCTGAAGTAACTTCTCACTTTTTTCACTGATAAAAGAATCACGGACATTTATTCCCTAGTTCAGTACCTCCCAGTGCTATTGTGGACATGGAAGATGAAAGTGTTTTAAAAAGTTAGGAAGGTAGTATAAAGATAATTGTCATCTTATCCTATTGAGTACTAGAAACTCGTATCATTGACAGAATATTATGATTCTATATGTTAGTGATTGTAAGCAGAGCAATGGTCCCCCAGGGAGGTCTGCATCCTTGTCCCCCTAATCCTTAGCTTCTGGGAATTAGAACGCAGACCTCCCTGGGGGACCACTGTTCTTTTTGCACTGCAAAAAGGATTAAATTTGCAGATGAAATTAAGGTTGCTTATTAGCTGGAATGAGAGAATTTTTCTGGATTATTCAGGTGGGTTCAAAGTAATGACAGAATCCTTATAAGTGGAAGCAAGAGGCAGAATAGAGTTCAAGAGAGTTTGGAAGATGCTGCATTGCTTGATTTGAAGGTAGAGGATGGGATGACAAACCAAGCAACATAGGCAGCCTACAGAAGCTAGAAAAGGCAATAAAACTTATTGTCGCTTAAGCCTTCAGAAGGGAGTATGCCCTTGCCAACACTTTGATTTTAGCCTAGTGAGACCCACTTTGAACTTCTGACCTCCAGAAACATAAAATAACCAAACTGTATTGTTTTGAGACACTAAATGACTTCATGTGGTTCTGCCTAATGATTTGTAGTCATTTGTTACAGTAACAATAAGAAGCTAATACAACAATGAACATCAAGTAGGTCAGTCTTTAATCCATCTCCCCAGAGCACTGGCTTTAGGTCTAGTCTTCAGCCAAGAAACATGGTCAAAATTTGGAGAACATCAGGCAGTACACTCATTTCTAATAATTTTACCCTGCATTGATGCAGGGATTATCTGGTTTAAATATTCTCTCTTTTCCTCTCCACGGTTAGGGATAGTCCTTCTGTTGCGGAAGAGCCAGTAGACCAAGAGCTCAGGATATGGGTGATGCAGACTTAACGAGACCTTGAGAATATCTGCATTCATTGATTTTTTATTTTCTTGTGCCTTCAACAGCTGTGGTGGCCTCTGTGTTTCCAATATTGTTGTAGGCACAGAATATAGAGCAGCAAACAAAACAGACAATTCCCCTGTCTTCAAGGATTTTACCATCTAGAAGGGTAGACTAGAAGATGGCAAGCTTTCCGTAAAGGCCAGATAATGTACATTTTAGGTTTTGCAGACTGTAAGGTCTCTGGCACACATATTCAAACCTGATGTTATAACACAAAAGCAGCAATATACAATATGTAAATAAACAGATTTGTTACATTTCAATTAAACTTTATTTACAAAAACAGGTACAGGACTGGGCTTCCAAAAAACGTAGCATGTATATAGACCTGCGGACTGATTGTGCAGGTGCCCAGGCAAGAATAGACCCGTTGCTTCAAATCCCAGGAAGCCCTTATGGAGGTCCTATGCTATAAAAAACAGGCATAATAATGTTCACACAATTAATAGGAATTCATCCTGGCCTCTGGGAAAGGTGATTGAGATGAATGCAGAACCAGCTACGTAATTTATAGATTCTCTTGTTAAAATTACATATATATCTTAGCTTGAGCCATACGAAACTGCTGTCTTTCTAGGTTAAGTATAGTTAATCACTGGCAGTTCCATATGGTTCTGCCTAATGATTCCAGGTGGTAGACTCTACTTTTTTCTAGAGCTCAACTTTTTCTAGCCTCTTTAATAATTATAAGGTTTCTAGCATTTCTATCTTTTTCTTCCAGGAGAACTGAAGTTCCTTTGTGGTAGGGAACTATTCTCTTTCTTATGTCTACCGGGGCACCAACCCTGCAATGGGGCATACACTATGGACCCATAGACCCGTGGACTGAATGTGCAGGTGCCCAGGCAAGAAGAGACCCATTGCTTCAAATCCCAGAAAGCTCTTATGGAAGTCCTCTGCTATAAGAACAGGCATAAAAATGTTCACACAGTTAACAGGAATTCATCATGGCCTCTGGGAAAGGTGATTGAAATGAATGCAGAATCAGCTAAGTAATTTACGTAGTCTCTTTCTAAAAATTTTTAAAAATAATTTCAAGATAGCAACAGCAGAGCATTAGATCAAGCACAGGGCTCTTCTATCTCTGAAGTCCTGAGTAACTGCACAGGTCCCATGCCCACGAAATCAGCCCTATGAAGCTGGCCAATTCCAGATTTTGTCTCTATCATTGTCCATTAAAGTCTATGAATGAAGAGAGCCTCATAAATTAAAAGTAAGGTTCTTCTTCTGGATAACAACAGCAAATCAGAGGGGAATTAGAGACAAGAAGTTCTACAATCAAATCTTGCTTTTTCCAATTTCCAACTGAGTGACATTGGGAAAATGTGTCAAATTCTCAAAAGAAGCTTTCTTTTCTTATTTTGAGTGAGTGGCAAGAAATAAAATTACTTACTATAAAAAGCATTAGATATCTCAAGGGAAGTAAATTACTTTAGCAAAGACACCTCAAGCGGTTATTTTCGTGCGACTACGTAGCCCTCAAGACTATGTGGAATTAGCTAGAAATGCAGTAAACAGAATGCAATTGATTCTGTCTAGTAAGTTAGGAAGAGTGTTGAGTTTTCACATACACATGAGGGAAGGGCACAATGAGGAAAGAACTAAGCAGTAAGGCAAATGGCTGAAAGTTCATAGAGAGGAACAGTAACCGAAAATGTAGTGGTGTTGAAAATGACCAATAGGCTTTTTAATAATAAAGATCTGGCCAGGCGTGGTGGTTCACATCTGTAATCCCAGCACTTTGGGAGACCGAGGTGGGTGGATCACCTGAGGTCGGGAGTTTGAGACTAGCCTGGCCAATATGGGGAAACCCTGTCTCCACTAAAAATTCAAACATTAGCCAGGCGTGGTGGCACATGCCTGTAATTCCAGTTACTTGGGATGCTGAGGCAGGAGAATCACTTGAACCTGGGAGGTGGAGGTTGCAGTGAGCAGAGATCGTACCACTGCATTCCAGCCTGGGCGACAAGAGTGAAACTCCGTCTCTAACAATAATAATAATAATAATAATAAAGATTAAATTGTGCATTTTAGTTTGCTGTGATGTGCTGCAATAACTCTTCCTCCTCACATTTACCCAATGGCCCGAAACATCAAGAAGTTTTATTACTTACAAAATACTGTGGAAGTGGCAATTTTCAGAATAAAACAACTAAGATTGCATTGAAATAAGGACAACTGGTACAAAAAAGGTAGTAAAATTCAGAATGGAGATTGAGAATTTTTCAGGTGCCACATGTTGAGGATAAAAGTGATTAACATTGGAAGAAGATCCAAAGATGTTGGAAAGGATACTGAGTTACTCACCACTTAGAAAACACTGTTTAAGACAATTTTACTTTATTATTAGAGAATAGGGACTGACATCTCGACCCCATTTCTAGAGGGATCTGGAGGAGATGACAGTAGACACTGCATCAATGTTTTAAAATTAAACAGATAAATTTATGCAAAATACCCAGCACAATAACTAATAAGGAGTAGGTGTTCTATAACTATAAGCTTTCTTCCCATTTTGGCTCATCACATATAGAGGAAAAATAAAGACAGAGATGAGATGTGTACCTGAATCCAAATTGAAAGATTATTCTACTTCTCAATCACTTCCAACTTCCAAAGTCATTCAGCAATTAGGGAATGTTAATTATTGTTGTTCCCAGAGCCAGCACTCCCCCAAACTTGCTTCTGTGATAATATCTCACGAAAAGAGAAAGCACTTACCATTGAAATGGACACAGTCATGTAACAATTATTTGACAACTGGTTCCGGTTACAGTAATGGTAACTGAATGAATAAAACGTCAAGCTTATTGCATTGATTAAGATCCCTGTTATAGCAAAGACTGAGCTGGTGATATTCATTCCTAGACTACCTCCGACCTAGAAAGAAATGAAAATTAATTAAGCAATCCAACATCATCCTCAGATATATCTCTATTAATTACTTTACACTGCAGTCTATCTTTATCTTGATTATTTCAATAGTCTTCTAACTTGTCTCCTTATAGTGGTTTCAATTCTAATCTCTTGCCAAAACACAAATATGATCCCATGACTCCCCAGCTTAAATTCTTCAGATAATTCCTGTGAGCAGATGAGATAATCTCCAAATCATTTAGCAGGGTTTCAATGATTTTTTACACATTAGCTGGACAGTCCTATCTGTGTCCTTCCCTGCCATTCCTTGCTTCCGGTCTCTTATCATTGTTCTAAACACTGCTTGCCTCTCGTGCCTTTCTACCTTTTACATTATTTTTCTTAGTTGTGCATTCCCTTTCGTACCTTCTCTTCTCATGGGTAAAGGTAAGGAGGCTTTTAATGAGAATTAAAGTTACACAGGACAGTGTGAAGAGTGTAGTGTGGCTGCAGGTCCGTGCAGACACTAGGAAGTTGGGTTAGGCCAGATTTGGAAAACCCATGCTGATCATGCTCCACAGTTTGATATTTATCTTTTGAGCAAAGAAAACTCAAATATGGTGTTTAGCTAGAAAAACTCTTGTTGAGATCTTGGCTTTTCCATTTTGTTGGCTTTATGAAAGGCATATTGACATGAGAGTTACATTTTAAATTTGCTTCTTCTGATGTAATAACTTTATTGTGAATTTCTTATACTGAAAACTCAAAATCCTGTTTGGATACAGTTGAAATCTACTTTTTCTTTTTCTTTTTGAGACGGAGTTTTGCTCTGTCACCAGGCTGAAGTGCAGTGGCACGATCTCAGCTCACTGCAACCTCCGTCTCCAGGATTCAAGCGATTCTCCTGCCTCAGCCTCCTGAGTAGCTGGGATTACAGGCATCCGCCACTACGACTGGCTAATTTTTTTTGTATTTGTAGTAGAGAAGGGGTTTCACCATGTTAGCCAGGCTGGTTTCAAACTTCTGACTTCAAATGATTCGCTCGCTTCAGCCTCCCAAAGTACTAGGATTACAGGCGTGAGCCATCGTGCCTCGCCAGAATCTACATTTTAACCAATTGGTCAATAAACATTATGCCACACCAATACTTGGTGTGACTGTCATGGGCTGAATCCCAAGCTGCGGAGTTTTTTTTGAGTGATTCCACTTCATATTTGTTCTAAATAATTCTCTATATCTTCATAAAGTTCCCCTCATCAACTACCTTGACAAAATATCCATTATGTCAGTAATTCTATCACTAGCCTTATTGCAATTTTTGAAAGACAGATCCTGCTAAGTAAAATGCACAATCACTCCTGATTTTTTAAAAGCAAACAAACAAAACCTGTTTTATACCCTGGCAGAATCCATTATTGATTAATCCTTTCCTTTTGATACCCCCCACAAAATATTACTCACCAGACCTTTTGTTGTTCTAATTCCTGCTGCAACTGATAAGGATCCTGAAATAATAAACTAGGAATGAGAGAAAAAAACGGAGATAAAAAGCTTTAAGCAAGTTGTGGAAATCACAATTCAGTAAACTTTATTCCAAAGTAGATAGATATGTATAAATAGGTCAATTATCTTAGAAAGCAAGAGATTGCACATAATTTTCTCTTTTCCCATAAAGAACAGAGAAATTCTGCCAGATGAGTCCATTGGATAATTTATCAAGCCTTTCAAATAATAGCTAACTGGAATGGTATTAAAACTGTTTGAGGACACTGATAGATAAAGCTTCCAAATTCCTGATAAGAAGTAATTCTTATGTGGTATCAATATTGAATACAATAAACAAAAAAGGTACTAAAATAATTCTCATTGAAAATATGTTTAAAAGGTTATAAAATAAAATAGTAGCACATAAAATTTAGTTCCCAATTATTTGATAACTAGAATATACTACTTCATTTGAATCCATCAATGGGACAATTATTTTTCATTTAGCCAAAATAGCTAGTCAAGTTGGTTATAAGACTCTCTGCCTTATAATATTCCATTGTTAGAGCTTTCAATTTCCTTTACAAATTTGATCTCAGATGATTCAAAAATGATATCTTAATATAAAGAAACTGGACTAATAAAATAGCTCAATAAACTTCTTTAGTTTCCAAATACCCAGACGTAGAGATGATTCATGTTATCTATATCACCATTGGAGAAAAAGAAAACAGTAGAGCAAATCATCCATCGTGTAACATAAAATACATCAGGAACATTTGGGATGATCCTTCAACTCTACAAAGATTTTTAATATTGAAATATTCTAATATATATAATAAATAAAGGAAAACATTACATGCTAATGGCTATTCACATTTACAGCGTTGATAGGATAGGGCGTTTAATACAATCCAACATTATTAGTGACTTAAACATTATTGGTAAAATATATATAATTATACTTTCTGTAACATGATAGGACATCTGTCTCAGTCTACAAGTCTTTATCAAGTTAAATGATAAAAAGTGGGACCATCTTATTAAAGTCAAAATCAAGATAAACATGTAGACTATTATGTATTACTATTTGGGGTATATTAACCAAAATAGTTATATAAGAAAAATAGTTGAAACAAATGGCTGAAACTACTGTTATTTAGTATGAATAACATCTATTGCAAACATCTAAGAATATAAACTAAAAAGTACTGTAAACTATTTAAAAAATTCAGTAAAGCATCTTGGAAAAACATTGTATACAGAAATTACATATACACACTAGAAGTGTGAATGTATGTTTGTGTATGTGAAGATAGGACTGAATAAAAGGACTTCATTTACCACAGGAAAAAATATGTATATAGTATCTCAGAGGAAAAAAACTTAACGAAGAATGTGAGTCATAAATAGGAATAGAACTGAAGAGGCCAAGGATAATAGAAACTTACAGCTGGCTGTTGGTATTGGTACTTATACTGTCAAAGAGAGAATAGAGAAGCACTTTGCAGGTGATGTTTGGAAAAAAAGGTTGAAAGAATAATGGAAGGGAGCAGCAAAAAGTTTTTACCAATTTACTACATTTACTAATCCAGTTCAATGCCTACAAGAGTCTGAGTGATGTCTCAGTGGACAAACACAGCTCCTGCAGTTCTTGGTAATCTACTGAACACGTGTGGAAGGCTAAAACCATGTAAGCTGGTTTTCAATGCGATCTTGAAAAGAAAATGGGCACGAAAGCAGAAACCTAGATAGTTACATATATATGATTGTGATAATAGAGTCACCCTATTTGAATCCTGATCCTGACCCAATTAGTTGTGATCTCGGGCAAGTTACTTAACCTCCCTTCATCCATAAAATGAAGATAATGAGAAATCCTCCCTCAAAAGTTTGTGGTGATGGTAGGATATAAAAAGTGCACATAAAAAGCACTTAGTAGAATGTCCAGATCATAGTAAGAGTTTAATAAAAAGCTATTCTTGGCATTGGTAATATTATATATATATATGGTATATATATATGGTGTGTATATATATATGGCGTGTGTGTATCTATCTATCTATCTATCTATCTATCTATCTATCTATCTATCTATCTATTTATATATGGTACGACTTTCCAGAGATAGAACAGCATTTGCTGTCTGTTATGGTTAATATTGAGTGTCAACTTAATTGAATTGAAGGATGCAAAGTATTGTTCCTGGGTGTGTCTGTGAGGGGGTTGACAAAGGAGATTAACATTTGAGTTGGTGGACTAGGAAAGGGAGACCCAGCTGCCAGCATAGCCAGAACAGAAGGAGGCAGAAAAAATGTGGAAAGACTAGACTCATTTCGTCTTCTGGTCTTAATAAACTCCCCTTTATATATACACCTATTCTATTAGTTCTATCCCTCTAGAGAACACTGACTAATACAGATTTTGGTACCAGGAGTGGATCTAGAAAATAGAATATTAAGGATGGAGTTCTTTTGTTGGTTTTGCTCCTAAGTTCACTGGACAAAGTGATGAAAGAAAATTATGAACTCAGGGATTCTAACTCTCAGCTTCAGAAGCAGATACTGAGCCACAAATCTTCTAAGATTGTCCTGAATGAGAGCTTTATTTTCTTTATTTTCTGTAGAGAAAGAGCTGAAATTGTGGACAATCAGACACAAGCTTTTATCACGTGATTTGCTGACCCGCAACAAAAGGTGCACGCACAGACTCCCCAGGTGTCTACTGTTAAAGCGAGAGCATTGATTGAAAAGGAATGGGACCCGGCAACTTGGAATGGGGATGTGCAGTAGGACCTTGATGAAGCTGGGGACACTGAGCTTGTAAACTCTCACCAGCCATTTTTGCCAGAAGAAACAGCTTCCCCAATCACCAGTAGTGGCAACATCCCCTCCCTAACCTACACTGCCATAAGCCTTTTCACCTTTGCCTGAGGAGATAAATCCTGCACTGCCTAATACAACAGTGATGGCCTCTCCTCAGGCAATTGCCAAGCAAGACAATGTTGATTCTCCTCAGAACCCACCCTAAGGCCCCTGTTTGCTTCTAGACCTATAACTAAAGTCCCAGCAGGCCCCTAGAGGTGAGGTTCAAAATGCGATCCCCGAGAAGGTACACTACACTTGAAAAGAACTGCTTGAGTTTTCTAATTTATATATGCAGAAATCTGGAAAACAGGCATAGGAATGAATATTAAGGGTATGGGATAATGGTAGAAGGAACATAGAGTTGGATCAGGCTGAATTTATTGATTTGGGTCCTCTAAGCAGGGATTCTGCATTTAATGTTGCAGCTTGCGGAGTTAAAAAAGATTCTAGTTTATTTGCTTGGTTAGCTGAAATATGGATTGAAAGATGGTCCACTGTGAGCGAGCTGAAAATGCCTGATCTCCTTGGGTTAATGTAGAAGAAGGGATTCGAAAGCTTAGGGAGGTTGGGATGGGGGAGAGGATTAGTCACTTTAAGCCTACTCATCCCAGCTGGGAGGGTTCAGAAGATATACCCTTGACCAACACTTTGTGAAATAGATTTGTGAGGGCAGCACTTGCATCCTTGAAGAGCTCTGTGATTGCTCTTCTATGTACGCCAGATCTTACAGTGGGAACTGCAGTCACTCAACTACAAAATTTAAATGCAATAAAAATAATTGGATCCAGAGGTGGCAGGGGCCAAATGGCAGCACTCAACCATCAAAGGAAAGGTGGGCATAGCTACCATAACGGATAGAAGAGGCAAAGCAGCAATCAGAATAGTCTGACTTGTGTAGAGCTCTGGCATTGGCTAATTAATCACAGTGTTCCTAGAAGTGAAATTGATAGGAAGCTTGCCAAATTCTTACTTAATTTATATAAGCAGAAAACTTCCAGATCGAGTGGACAAAATACTAATTTGAATTATAAAAATAGAGAATCATAGCCCCACTATCAATTTCCAGACATGTGCCATTTTACAGACCCAGAACTCCTTGAATAAAAAGGAGACCAGGTCCTCTTAAGGAAGGATCCCACTACACTACTGACAATTTATGCTGTTAATCTTTCTCCCATCCTTCAAGGAGATCTCTGGCCTTTTACCAGGGTAACTGGATTGGGGAAAGAAAGAAAAATGATCAGACCTTTTAGGGACTACTGGACACTGACTCTGAGCTGACATGGATTCCAGGGGACCCAAATGTCATTATGGTCCTCCAGTTATAGTAGGGGCTTATAGAGGTCATGTAATTAATGGAGCTTTAGCTCAGGTTCAACTTACAGTGGGTCCAGTTGGTCCCCACACTCATCATGCAGTCATTTCCCCAGTGCCAGAAGGCATAATTGGCATACAGATGCTTAGCAGCTGGAAGAATCTCTACACTGCCCCCTGACTTGCAGGGTGAAGGCTATTACGGTGGAAAAGGCCAAAGGAAGCCATTAGAGCTGCGTCTACCTAGAAAAGCAGTAAATACTCCCAGCTTGGATGAGTAGGCTTTAAGTGACTAATCCTCTCCCCCATCCCAAACTCCCTAAGCTCTCGGATCCCTTCTTCTACATTAACCCAAGGAGATCAGGCATTATCAGCTCGCTCACAGTGGACCATCTTTTAATCCATATTTCAGCTAACCAAGCAAATAAACTAGAATCTTTTTTAGTTCCGCAAGCTGCAACATTAAATGCAGAATCCCTGCTTAGAGGACCCAAATCAATAAATTCAGCCTGATCCAACTCTATGTTCCTTCCACCATTATCCCATACCTTTAATATTCATTCCCATGCCTGTTTTCCAGATTTCTGCTTATATAAATTAGAAAACTCAAGCAGTTCTTTTCAAGTGTAGTGTACCTTCTCGGGGATCGCTTTTTGAACCTCACCTCTAGGGGCCTGCTGAGACTTTAGTTATAGGTCTAGAAGCAAACAGGGGCCTTAGGGTGGGTTCTGAAGAGAATCAACATTGTCTTGCTTGGCAATTGCCTGAGGAGAGGCCATCACTGTTGTATTATCTCCTCAGGCAAAGGTGAAAAGGCTTATGGCAGTGTGGGTTAGGGAGGGGATGTTGCCACTACTGGCGATGGGGAAGCTGTTTCTTCTGGCAAAAATGGCTGGTGAGAGTTTACAAGCTCAGTGTCCCCAGCTTCATCAAGGTCCTACTGCACATTCCCATTCCAAGTTGCCGGGTCCCATTCCTTTTCAATCAATGCTCTCGCTTTAACAGTAGACACCTAGTGAGTCTCTGCGTGCACCTTTTGTTGCAGGTCAGCAAATCACGTGATGAAAGCTTGTGTCTGATTGTCCACAATTTCAGCTCTTTCTCTACAGAAAATAAAGCTCTCATTCAGGACAATCTTAGAAGATTTGTGGCTCAGTATCTGCTTCTGAAGCTGAGAGTTAGAATCCCTGAGTTCATAATTTTCTTTCATCACTTTGTCCAGTGAACTTAGGAGCAAAACCAACAAAAGAACTCCATCCTTAATATTCTGTTTTCTAGATCCACTCCTGGTACCAAAATCTGTATTAGTCAGTGTTCTCTAGAGGGATAGAACTAATAGGATAGTCAGTGTTCTCTAGAGGGGTAGAACTAATAGGATAAGTGTATAGATAAAGGGGAGTTTATTAAGACCAGAAGACTAAATGAGTCTAGTCTTTCCACATTTTCTCTGCCTCCTTTTGTTCTGGCTATGCTGGCAGCCGATTGATTGAGGGTGGGTCTCCCTTTCCTAGTCCACCAACTCAAATGTTAATCTCCTTTGTCAACCCCCTCACAGACACACCCAGGAACAATACTTTGCATTCTTCAATTCAATTAAGTTGACACTCAATATTAACCATAACAGACAGCAAATGCTGTTCTATCTGTGGAAAGTCACACTATATGTATATATATATAATATTGAACATTAACTTGATTGGATTGAAGGATGCAAAGTATCATTCCTGGGTGTGACTGTGAAGGGCTTGCCAAGGGAGATTAACATTTGAGTCAGTGGACTAGGAAAGGCAGATCCGCCCTTAGTCTGGGAGGGCACAATCTACTCAGCTGCCAGTGTGTCCAGAATAACGCAGGCAGAAGAACATGGAAAGACTAGATTGGTTTAGTCTTCAGGCCTACATCTTTCTCCCATGCTGCATGTTTCCTGCCCTCAAACATCAGATTTCAAGTTCTTCAGCTTTGGGACTCAGACTGGCTTCCTTGCCCCTCAGCTTGCAGATGGCCTATTGTGGGACCTCACGTTGTGACTGTGTGAGTCAGTACTCCCTAATAAACTTCCCTTTATATATGTACATCTATCTTATTAGTCATGTCCCTCTAGAGAACCCTGACAAATACACTCTCCTTCAAATCTCGCACTTCCACTGTACACAGGTGAAGTAGAGCAGAAATTAAGCTCCATTATAAAACTCTAAACTATCTCATTCTCAGTTTTATAAATAAATGGAAACCCTATAATACTAGAATAAATTCCCTGATTCTAACCTAAATCTGCCTTATAAATTTTATTTTTCTTTTGTCAATAGATAAAACTTGGTATTTTATTCTCAAATTTACCTCAAATTTACTTTTAATTTGCCTCAAAACTCTTTTGTGTTCTCTCTTGGGAGAATGTTTTTAAAGCTAAATTCCAATTCTAATTTTAATTTAATATCAACCATAGTAACTTATTAAACTTATGAAACAAAATGTATCAAATAACAATTTAATTTTCTAAGGTAACATTTGATAGTCAATAGACTATATATGAGAAACTGCCTGTGTACCAGCCACGTCTCCACTTTTTCCTTGCTAACTAAACCATCATTTTCTTCAGTTTTTCCTGAGCTAAAAGGTAGTGTAGGCTCCTCCCAGCTACAGAGGTAAATCTTAATTAGTCTAAGCCAGTAATGGCAAGTTCGTTATCCTTACTGATGGTTGATTTGGGCATATGTATATAAAATATTTATCAAAAATGGATGTGTCTACCATCTCCCCTCTGGTATAGTCTGCTAGCAGTTCTTGATGAAATCCTTACACCACCGAATTAAGCAATTCTGGAAATAAGCCCCTAATCTCGTTGTGAAACAATCAGTGCTTTCATTGCTTAAGTCATTCCAGTTTGGGTCTTTGGCAATGTGTTGCTGTAATAGACCCTAACTGACTTACGTAAAGTATTTAACCTGCCTAGCTTTAAGTTTTATATTATTATTACTATTTTAAATATGAGAACACTGAGTTTAAAAAGGTTAGATACCATTCTCAAATTTGCAGAATTACAAGACAAAGTTAGAATACAATTGCAAAGATCAGGGTATTTACACCTCTATTACGTGATCTCCAATTATATCAAAAAATACCCTACTCACCATCACGGACCCCCAAATTGTGTACCCAGCATACACAGAAATGGGACGTTCTTCATAAGAACTAAACGCCACACACATCATTACTATTCCCATGCTAAGGCTCATCAAGGCAGTCAGAATCTGCACAACCTAGAAATGATGAAGAAAGCAAAAACTGATTATCCACCACAAAAATGGTGCTAATGTCACCCCCTTTCCAATCACTAAGCTATCCTTATTCTTTTTATTTCATACAGTCATATGACCTTGATATTCTGTTGTCACTCTTTTTTTTCACATTAAGAACCATGAATATTATCTTACCAACGTTATCTCTCAGGATCTCTACCACTGTCAATCATTTCACGGTTAAAAGGAGCATGCCAGACCCAGCCCACAGGTGCTTTTCTGATACCTAGGATGCTACTTCTACCACAATGGTTTCTCTCTTTTGTCACATACTCAGAGAGAAGTGGCCAAGGAATTAGAAAGCAATTATTCTAGGAAGGGGAAGTAACCTGAAGAAAAAAGAGTGTATACAGGGGAAGAAAAAAAGAAGAGCAAATCTGATATTTTCTTGACGTCTGGGGCCTGAGGACATGAGTATGAGTAAACAGCATTCTTAAAATAGGAGAGTTGGAGTACAATTATCTCATGGCATTAAAAATGAGTCAAAAAAATTAAAACAACTTATCAAAATTTATGGGATGTAGAGAAAGCAGTGCTTAGAAAAAAATTATAACATTGAATGAATATATTAGAAAATAATTATCTAAAATCAATCACCTGAGAGTCTACCTTAAGAAACTAGAAAAAGAAAAACTCCAAGTAAGCGGAAGAAAAAAACATGTAATAGAAATTACAGCAGAAATCATAAAATTAAAAACAGAAAATTAACAGACAAACTCAACAAAATCCAATGCTTTTTTTTTAAAAAAGAAAAATACATAAATAAAACCAATAAGCCTGTAGCCAGTCTAAGAGAAAGAGAGAGAGGACACAAATTACTCATAAGTGAAAGAGGGAACATCACTCCAGTTCCCACAGAAGTTAAAAGGATAATAAAATAATGCTATGAACATTTCTGTGCCCACAATTTGATAGCCTTGAGACAATGAATTACTCCTTAAAGACAATTTGTCAAAACTCACACAAAAGAAATAGGCACTCTGAATAAGCCTATAATTATTAAATAAATTAAATCAATAATTAGTAAAATTTCAAAACAGAAAGCACCAGGCCTGGAAAGGTTAATCAGTGCATTCTACCAAACAGTTAAAAAAGAAATTATACCAATTCTTTACAGAAAATAGAAAAAGAGGAAATACTCCCTAACTCATTCTACGGAGCTAGCACTATTATCTACCAAAAAAAAGTCAAAAACATTACAAGAAAAGAAAACTGCAGACCAACATCTCTGATGAACAAAGATGCAAAAATTCCCAACAAAACATATGCAAACTAAATATAATAGTGTATCAAAAGAATTATATACCATGACCATGCAAGATTTATCCCAGATATGCAAGGCTGACTAAATATTCAAAAACCAATGAATGTAACTAAGGACATCAACAGGCTGAAAGGAAGAAAAATCACATGATTATCTCAACAGATGCAGGAAAAATATTAAACAAAATCCAATGCCTGTTTATTATAAAAACTTTTGAAAAACTATTAATAGAGGAGAACTTCTTTAGGTTGATAAAGAATATTTATTCAAAAAACTACAGCTAACTTCATACTTAATGGAGAAATTCAAAGCTTTCTCACTAAGATCACGAACAAGGCAGGGATGATCCCGTCACTACTCCTTTAAACATTTACTGGAAGTCACAGCTGAAACAGTAAGAAAAGAAAAGGAAATAAAAGTATACAATTGGTAAGGAAAAAATAAAACTACTTTTATTCACAGATGACATGATTGTCTGTGTAGAAAATCTGAAATAATCAACCAAAAACTCCTGGAACTAATAAATGATTATATTAAGGTTGTAGGATACAAGCTGAATACACAAGAGTCAATTACTTTCTTATGTACTTAGAATAAATAAGTGAAATTTGAAATTAAAAATGCAATACTATTTAAATTAGCACCCCCCAAAATTAAATATTTAGGTATTGGTATTTGGTGTTTGTTAGGCATAAATCTAACAAACTATGTACAAAATCTATAAGAAAAACTTAAGAAAATAAATCAAATAACTAAATAAGTGGAGAGATATTCCATGTCGATGGATAGGAAGACTCAACATTGTCAAGATGTCAGTTGTTCCCAATTTAATCTGTAGGTTTAATGCTATCTCCCTCAAAATATTAGCAAGTTATTTGTGTATATTGAAAAACTGACTCTAAAATTTATAGGGAAAGGCAAAAGACTTAAAATAGCAAAAACAATCTTGAAGAAGAAGAATAAGGAGTTGTAGGAGTAATACTACCCAACTTTAGGACAAACTATAAAGTGATAGTAATCAGGACTGTGTGGTATTGGCAAAGAAATAGACAAATAGATCAATTGAATAGAATAGAAAGCCTAGAAATAGACACAGAAGTATAGTCAAGTGATCTTTGATAAAAGGCTAAGGTAATACAATTAGAATAGTCTTTCCAAAAAAAAAAAAAAAATACGACTTAAAAAACTGGACCTCCATAGGCAAAAATTGAACTTAGACACATACCTTGTATTCTTCACAAAAATTAACTCAAAATAAATCACAGACACAAATGTTAAACTCAAAACTCTGAAACTCTTAACAGATGACATAGGCCAAAATCTAGATGACCTTGGTTTTGGTGATGAATTTGTCAATACAATACCAAAGGCACAACCCATGAAATACAGAATTAATCATCTTAATTTTATTAAAATTTAAAAAATTCTGCTCTGCAGAAGACACTGTCCGGAGACGAAAAGATAAACCACAGACTGAAAGAAGATATTTGCAAAAAACATACCTGATGAAGGATTGTTATCCAAAATATACAACAAACTTAAAACTCAGCATTAAGCATACTAACATCCCAGTTAAAAAAATGCGCCAAAAACTTTAATAAGACACCTCAAGAAAGAAGATATAGAGATGGTAAATAAACATATAAAAAGATGCTCCACCTCTTATGTCACCAGGGAAATGAAAATTAAAATGGTAATGAGACTGGACTACACACCTATTAGAATGGTAAAAATCCAGAACATTGAGGACACCAAATGCTGCCTATTATGTAGAACAGCAGGAACTCTCATTCACTGCTGATTGACATCTTCCACATTGCAAAGTAACAGGGAAGACGGTTTGACAGTTTCTTACAAAACTAAACATACTCTTACCATACAATATAGCAATCATACTTACCTGTTAAGTTGAAAACTTATGTTCACACATAACATGCACACAGATATTTATAGCAACATTACTCCTACTTGCCAAAGTTTGGGAGCTATCAAGATGTCCTTCAGCAGGTGAATGCATAAACAAACTGTGGTACCTCTACACAATGAAATATTATTCAGCACTAAAAATAAATGAGCTATTAAGCCATAAGAAAACATGGTGGAAATTTAAATGCATGTTATTAGGTGAAGGAAGGCAGTCTTTAAAAACTACCTATTTTACAACGTTAACGGTATGACTTTCTGGAAAAGGCAAACTATGAAGACAATAAAAGATTAGTGGTTGCCAGGGATTGGTGGGAGGAAAGGATGAATGGGCAGAGCACAGAGAATGTTTAGGGCAGTGAAACTACTTTGTATGATACTATAAAGGTAGATTCTATCACTATACCTTTGTTAAAACCCATAGAACACACAACACAGAGAATGAACCCCATTGTGATTTGTGTACTTTGAGTAATGATGTGTCAACATAGGTTCATCAGTTGGAACAAATGTCCCACTCTGGTGGGGGAAGTTGATAATTAAAAAGCTATGCACGTGTCGGGGCAAGGGGCATATGGGATATACCTGTACTTTTGCTCTCAATTGTTCTTTAAGCCTAAAACGTCCCTAAAACATGCAGTATATTTTAAAATAATTATTTATACATTAAAAAATTGAACCTAGTATGTGCCAACATAAATAACCTATTTCATGAAAAATAGCTATATTTCCCCCCCAAAAAATGAATAATGCAAAAAAAAAAAAAAAAAGGAATCCAAAGAGTCCACAATTATATTTTCTCAGTGGTTTGAAGCTTGGGCTAGTGATAAACCTATATTTCATGTTCTTTCACCTGCCCTAACCTGACATTCTTTTAATTCTACATCGTTTTTAGACACGTTCACTTGAGACTCCAGATGGAAATGCTCAGAGAATAACAGATTTTTCATCCTCTGAGCAGTGGGCTAAGAAAAGGTACCAGACAGAAAGAGTAGCAATATGCATCTATCTGCTATCAGGAAGGCCTGTGGAGGGGGCGTCGGCTAGTGCACAGGTGGTCTTTTCTTTTGCTGTTCTTCGATGCTGAAGTCAAATATAATTATCATGGATGATCCACAACCATAGAATAGATCTGAAGTCAATATACTTTAAATATAACTAATTTGGAAGCATGATGTGGTAGAATATGATATATTTTTTCAAAGAAAGGGCCTGAAATTAAATACTGATGTTGCTAGGGCTGGTTGATGTATTAAGAGGCTGGTGGGACAGTGTATTTGGCATTAGATCTGATCAAACATGAGTTTACAACACTATTGGTCTTCTCCCAGATTTGCAACTGACTTACCCCAAGGACTTTGGGTTCCCCCTTCAAGAACTTCTCTTGCAATCCTTTCCACAGATATGAATGTATGACACCCATGTTTCCCAACTGGGGCACACCAAGGCCAGCCCCTGGCGTAGCCTGTTCCATTCCTTGCATGATTGTCATGGCAGCAGAAAAGGTGCTACAATAAGAAATGTAATTTAGGATGAGGTCCTGGAAATGACAAAAGAAAGACTTCATACTTTCGGGCAGATTCCCCCAAGGACAAAACCTGGTCTACCTTTCCCTCCAATATTATAACAGTTGTTACAGCTAGGGAAGTGGAAGAGGCAACACATTAAGCAGGGGTGGAGAGAGAGATAGAGAGATTGACTTAAATGTTACATGATATCAATAATATGCTAGAAGAGAGGCCATGTTGACAGAAATGAGGTAAATTAGAGAAATTTCTTCAACTTCAAATCCCAAGTCTGCTCAGATTTTATTTCTATCCCTTTTAAAGCCTATTCCCTTGATTAGAGCCACTTCCCCGTGAAGGATTACTTTTGTAATAGTAATAAGCTACACTAACTCATCTGCCTTCCAATTTATTGTACAGTCTTGTATAGCTCCTCATTTTATAACCAGAACACAGTTAAATTCTCAGGGCTGAAAATCTTCCCATGTAACCTTGTATCTTGTCCCATAAGCTCTGAACTTTGGGAATAAAACTTATGGCTCTGAGTCATATTCTTTGCACCACAAATTTAAATCTCTTTTCCTATTACAGTACTTTAAATTCTAACTTGCTGGTGCATAGCAAGGATACATAAAGCCATTTTTTGAGATTCCAAGCACAAAGATATTACTGTTATGCCTCTGTCTCTCCTTAGTATGACTCCAACCAAGTAATGTAGAGATAGGCTAAAGCCACATGGAAATTTTTATCTGTGTATTTCAATTCATATTCAGATGTTTCATGGCCCACTTCCATAAAATTTTAGAGAAGTGAAGCTTGCTAATATCCTTCAAGTCATGGTTGATTTCAATGGAGCATATATGCTAAAAAGTCTTAACTTTGGAAATGTGCGCCCTTTTATTGGAAACATAATGAAAAAAATGTTATTGTAATCCAAATTTGCTATGTTCAGAAAAAATTCAGATTTCTGTGGAAATAATTATCATCCTATATTTACCTTTGATAGATCAATGAAAATACATTATTAGCTATCTGGCAATAAAATTGATTAAAGTTGGGAGAAGGAGGGTGAATTTCAGAGAAAGCTAGAGGGGAAAAGTTAAAATAAAAATAAAAGATTAATCATTTAGAACATTAATTTTAGTAATGTCAACATTCAAAGTTATGAAAAGCAGTAAAATAAAAAGTACAAAATTATAAATTATAAAATAAGAAGTATTTTTTAAAAGAAAGATAAATATAAATAATTAATAAGAAATATATAATGTAAATGTGATTGAAGTAGTTAAGGTAAGGACTTAAATGTAAGGATGTAAACAAAAAGTCAATGTTCTTATTCTTATCTCATCTTGAAAAGTTCCAGAAACAATTTGGACAAACAGAATTAGAACTCCATTTTTTTATGAAAGTGAGAAACAACTAAAATCTCTGTAAATCAGGTGAAATGAGTGTTAAAAACAAAGATTGCATACGGATAAATTTGGGGGAAAATGTAGAAAAAGTATCGAAGAAACAGGACACCATGGCCACAGATTTCAGACTATACTTATCAACGATAAGAGTCTCCTTGAGGTGTACAGCATAAATTATTGATCATAATCCTGGGAATTAAATGCATCAGCTGATACCTGTCACTTCCCTGGAGAATTATAGTTCTGAGAACAATCAAAGTCAGTAGTAAAGGAGAAATCCCACCAAAAAGACACATGCTTAGAAAACAATTAGTCTCTGAATAAGTCTTACGTTGGAGTCCATAAAGAAGGAAGTAGATATCCTTGATACAAGCCTCCAAGAAGCCCCACAGATTAGGAGCATCTAGATATATACCAAATATAGAATATGTAAAAAGTATGGATACTTTATTCAATTGAAAATGAAATCACAAAAATGAAAAGTTAAAGTGCGAAAAGTGACACAACGTTTTGCAACATGGTCTCAAACAAATTTCAAATATAAAATAATATTGACAGAAAAAATTTTGCCAATGTGTTAAATAACAAGGAATAGCTAAAAGTAGAATTAGTCAACTGGAAAAAAATTGAACAAATCACCAAGAATTCTATAGAGAAACAAGAAAATGGTCACAATAGAAGAAAGGTTAAAAGATGAGAAGTGTAGAATTAAAAGGTCTAGAATATGTCTGATTAGAATTCTAGAGAATGTCAGCAACATGGACAACTAGAAGTTACTAACCCTCATCACCATCACACACACACACACACACACACACACACACACAATGAATAAACAGCTACATTCCAACCAAAATAACTAAAGGAGCGCCAGAAAACAGCAAAGGAGTAGCAGAAACCTTGTAAAGCACAGAAATCCAGGATGGCTGCATGAAGAAGGAGAGAAAATACCTTTCCTCCACCACCCTTCCCCCAGTTAGGACCAGCTCTGAGTCAGGAGGGCCTTCTTCCTGCAGGGAAAAGGTAAGTGACAGGACCCCAGCAGCTCCCAACACCACCATAGACACCTGCAATCCTACTGGAGACACTTAGCATCTTCACAGACCCTGAGCTCAGCTGACGGAGCTACCTGAAGTCCACATGTCTGTTCTATCTCAGAGGAGGAGCTGACACTGTGCCCCACCCCCCATGGCCCGAGCTGCTACTGTGCTGCCCCTTGTTGGAACTGAATCACTGCTAGAGTGCATTCTGCTTCAGAGTGAGTAGCCATTGTACCCCTCCATCTCTGAGGCTTAACCCCCACTACACTATGCACACCTGGGAGCCATACCTGAGCCAAATTGCTGCTATCTACTCTCTACCTGCCGAGGCCAGGCTGCCATGGAACTGCTCCATGCCCCCATCTTAGTCGCTGGTGCACCCTGCCCCTCCAAACTCAAGTTGAAACTGTGCTCCACTCTGTGGGCACCCATAGCTTTGATTGAAATATGTCACCCCACCATCCAGGCAAAATAGCTGCAGTGCCCCACCTCCCTGGAACTGACTAGTCCCCTGGAGTCCAAGCTTCTGAGAAACCCTGGCTCCCTAGGGGGTCATTTCTACACTGCTCCAGGAAACCCAAGGAAAAAGCTACAGACAGGCCTAGCCATTCCTGAGGCCTTGCTGCTGCTACATCCAGCCTCACACAGCCTGGGATATTGCCATGCCCTAACATCTCAGGGTCTAAAGTTACCACTATGTGGCACTCTATCCCCCAGGGTTGGAGTTGCTGCTTTACCCTATTGGCTCTGGAACCCAAATTTGAACTGTAACCTGCTCCTCAGAACTCAAGCCTCCAAAGCACGCCTCCTTCCCCGGAACCTTGATGATGTTGTGCACTGACCCCAGAATCAGTCTCAATTCCATCCCTGCTTCACGGGCTTGAGTTACTGAGGTGTGCTTTAGAGTTATAGCCTCAGGTTTGTGGGTAATCTGCATCCAGCCACGACTGGGTGAGTGAACCTGTGCCAGATGCTACAGTAGTTTTACAAGACCCTGAGCCTAGGACCTCAGCTCGCACTGCCACTATGCCTGGAATACCTGTGCCTGGAAGGCACAAGCTGTAAACCTTGGTGGAATCCATGTGTACAGGCTCACAGACTGCAAGAGCTGTAGGGGCATGGCTTTCTCCAACTAGGATCAAAGAATGTCACATATAGCTACGGGAGTGGAGCCACTTCTAAGAGCCTCTATTAGGGCAAAGCTGAGTGGGAATGCGGAGTCAGAGCCAACACAGACAGTCACAGTTAGGGATATGCCTAGTGGAGCCAAGGGAGTGGGACTATCTTTGAGATCTCAGAACCATAGGGCCACTAGCATGCAACTCCAACCTAACAGAGCTGAAGCACGGACTGAGCCCAGCAAAGATATGGGAGCGGGGCCATGTCTGAGGGCCCCAGTCAGCATTCCCAGGATTCAGGACATGGAGTCAAAGGAAATTATTCTCCAGATTTAAAGCTTAATGCTGTCTTCTCTGTTGGATTTTGGACTCACTTGAAACCAGTTATGCCTTTTTCTTGCCTGGTTCTCCCTTTTGAACTGAGAGAGTCTATTCTGTACCTGTCTCACCATTATATTTTGGAAACAAATCACTAGTTTTGATTTCACAGGTTCACAGCTGGAAACATTTGCCTCCAGATAAGTAATGAGTCTCATCCATATCTGTTTCTGACGACTCTGGACTTAGAACTTTAAAGTTGATGCTAGAATGGGTAAAAACTTTTGAGGCGACTGAGACAGAATTAATGTATTTTGCATGTGAGAAGAACATGAGTTTCAGAGGGTTGTGAATGAAATGCTATGGTTTCAACGTTCCCTCTAAAACTCATGTGAAAACTTAATTGCCATTATAACAGTTTTAAGAGGTGTGACCTTCCAGAAATAATTACATCCAGAGACCTTCATCCTCATGAATGGATAAATATCATTATCTTGGGAGAGGGTTAATTATGGCAGGAGTGGACTCCTGATAAAAGAATAAATTTGGCCCCATCTCTCTCTCTTTGCTTTGTGCACTCACTTCCACCTTCCTCCATGGGATCACCCTCACCAGAGGTTTACATCATGGGTGCCCTTAGACTTCCCAGCCTTCAGAGCTATAAGAATTACAAGAATGGCAGCAGATACATGAATGATAAAAAAATTAAATGCTTAGTACTTCATAAAATTACCAAATCACAAAGGGATACAAGAGATGAAGAAATAAAGAAATATCTGCAAAAACAGCCACCCCCAAAATAACAAAATAGCACTACTAACTGCTTACCTGTTAATAATAACCTTAAATATAAAGGAATTCTTCAATCATAGAGTAGCTGAATTAAAAAAAACAAACAAACAAGATCTAACTATATGCTATAAGAGTCTCACTTTAGCTTTAAGAAATAAACATAGGCTGAAAGTGAAGGGATGAAATACTCCATGCAAATAGTAGTCAAAGGAGAAGGATTGCCTATACTTAGATCAGATAAAATAAGCTTCAAATCAAAAACTGTCAAAAGAGGCAAAGAAGGTCGTCATTTAATGAGCGACTGAGCATACAGTGTAGGTAACA